GGTTGAACAAGGAGATTATTCTGAAGCAGAACGAGCACATGATGAACAAGAAGCAGGGAGTTCTGAAGCTCCAACAACTCGTCAATCAGATCGTGTGAGAAGACGTCCCAATTGGCACTCAGATTATGTTATAGAAGGTAATATTGCATACTGTCTTTTAACAGAGGACGGTGAGCCATCAACATACCAGGAGGCAAAACACAGCTCAGATGTTTCACTGTGGATGATGGCGATGCAAGAAGAAATCGAAGCCCTTCATAAAAATAATACATGGGACCTTGTGTCACTACCACAAGGAAGGAAGCAAATTGGTAACAAATGGGTTTTCAAAATCAAGCGAAATGGTGACGATCAAGTGGAGAGGTATCGTGCAAGACTGGTGGTTAAAGGATATGCTCAAAAAGAAGTTATTGATTTCAATGAAATATTTTCTCCTGTGGTTCGACTAACAACAGTTCGAGTAGTTTTGGCAATGTGTGCTACATTGAACTTACATCTAGAGCAGCTAGATGTTAAAATAACTTTTCTTCATGGAAATCTTGAAGAAGAAATTTATATGCTCCAGCGTGAAGGTTTTGAAGAAAAAGAAAAGAAGAACTTGGTTTGTAGGTTGAACAAATCTCTATACGGTCTAAAGCAGGCGCCGAGGTGTTGGTATAAGAGATTTGATTCCTTCATTATGTGCCTTGGATACAACAGACTTAATGCAGACCCTTGTGCTTATTTCAAGAGGTCTGGTGATAACGATTTTGTTATATTGCTGTTGTATGTGGATGACATGTTGGTTGCAGGACCCAACAAAGATCATATTGAAGAATTGAATGCACAACTGGCTAGGGAATTTGAAATGAAGGACTTGGGATCAACAAACAAGATTCTAGGGATGCAAATTCACCGAGACAGAAGTAATAGGAAGATTTGGCTTTCACAAAAGAATTACTTGAAGAAAATCTTGTCACGATTTAGCATGCAAGATTGTAAGCCAATTTCTACCCCTCTTCCTATTAACTTCAAATTATCCTCCAGTATGAGTCCTAGCAGTGAAGAAGAGAGGATGAAGATGTCTCGAGTACCGTATGCATCAGCAGTAGGAAGTTTAATGTTCGCTATGATATGCACAAGACCAGACATTGCACAAGCAGTGGGAGTGGTTAGTCGGTACATGGCGAATCCAGGCAAAGAGCATTGGAATATTGTAAAGAGGATCCTCAGATACATCAAAGGGACCTCAAATGTTGCATTATATTACGGAGGATCAAACTTACTAATCAATGGTTATGTAGATTCTGACTATGCAGGGGATTTGGATAAAAGCAAATCTACTACAGGATATGTGTTCAAAATTGCTGGTGGAGCTGTAAGCTGGGTTTCAAAATTGCAGTCAGTTGTGGCTACGTCCACAACAGATGCAGAATATGTAGCAGCTACACAAGCCAATAAAGAAGCAATTTGGTTGAAGATGCTATTGGAGGAGCTTGGGCACAATCAAGAGTATGTCTCTCTGTTTTGTGACAGTCAAAGCGCCTTGTATCTAGCAAGGAATCCAGCATTTCATTCAAGGACAAAGAACATACGAGTTCAGTACCATTTCATTCGTGAAAAGGTGGAAGAAGGAACTGTAGATATGCATAAGATCTATACCAAAGACAACATAGCAGATTTCATGACGAAGACAATCAATGCTGATAAATTTACCTGGTGTCGATCTTCCTGTGGCCTGTCAGAAACGTAAGCAACATGAAGGTACAAGGTAGAAAGAATGGTGTGAAGATATGATTATTCCAATCAAATCTTCAAGTGGGAGATTATTAAAAGTCAAATAATTTAGGCACCAAATTAGGCACCAAATGGTGCTTTGTCAAAGTCAAAAATTAGGTACCTAATTTTTGTTGAAATTGGGTAATGGGATAATTAATTTTAGTCATTGTAATTTAGGGTATTTATAAGATTAGTCCTTAAGTTTCAACTATAAATACCCTAGCTCATTTAGCTTCAAAATCATCCCAAAGCATTCTAGCTTTCTTCCAATACTAGAGAGAATTTAGAGAGTTTCTTGAGAGTTGTTTTCTCCTTTTTATCAAGAGAGAATTATCATTGTTTTCTCCTTGGTAGATCGAGAGAGGTTGTAATTCCTATTTTCTCATAGTGAAATTCTTCTACCGTTGCCCGTGGTTTTTACCCTATATTATTTAGGGGTTTTCCACGTAAATTTTGTGTCTCTTTTTATCTTCATTTTTATTTTCTCAAATTATCAGTTACGATTTTGCTCTATCCGATAGCCGTCTTCCGCAACAACATATCCACAAAAAATTAGCAAATATGCATACAAAATTCACTCATCTACAAAGTTTTGAAGACTTCCAAATTCAGAAAACATAATTAATTCACAATTCCACATCCAAAAGCAAGTTATTCCATAAGGTTTTAAGTTAAACTCTTAAGGAGGGGGAAACACACATTTCATCCTTTGGGTACTGTATTTCTAGACAAAAAAGAAAACCGACCTTAAATTTCTCATCTTTCGTTTCAAACTCCATCTCTCTTGCCAAAAACCCCCCATCAAAAGAAACTTATTTAGGATTGTTCGAAGAAACTACTTCACCCTATTTTCATTTAATACATAAAGAGTAACATGAAAGGGAGCTTATCGAAGATAGGTGAAGATATATAAGAACCTTAGCGGCCCTAAAAAATGGCGCTTGAATAGCTGTGGCGGCGGAGCGGGAAGCAGCAACGGCTACTGACAATGGAAATAGAGAGAGAAAGAAACAGAATAGGGTCTTTTCTTATTGTTTGTTCAATAGGTTGTTTGTTCCGCCAACGGGTTTTCACTTCTTTCTTAAAAAATAATATTTTTTAAAATTATAAAAAATAGAATATGCATAATTTTTTAAAATAAATAAATATTTTTAAAAATATATATATTTATATAATACTTTGGGTAAATTATCTTATTAGTCATATAACTTTAATTTGTGCATCGATTTGATCATTAAGTCTTTTACAATGATTTTTTTTATCATTAGATGGTTAAATCGTTTGATAATATGCTCTTGAATATGAAATTAATATTATAATTGTTTGTTTGTAGAATATTTTATCATCTTTTAATGAGATTAAATATTCTAATTTTGCATTTATTGATTCGATAATAGATAAATCTTAAAATAATTTCTAATGAGTAAAAAAGACAATCACCAGTAGCAACAGAAACATTATGGAAGTCTATGATTAAGTTTGATTATTTGTGTGGGTTATTATTGAATGAAACTATATATATATATATATATATATATATATATATATATATATTGTAAGTTGCGCAGTTAAAAAATGTGTGGAAGTTGTAAAATTCAAATTTAAAAGTTATACACAAATCGAGCAGAGTTAAAGGATTAATTGTTATTTTTAAATATGTCGAGATTGTAGGATATTTAAACTTTTCCCTCTCTTAATAGGAGTTATTAAAAAAAGTTATATCAAATCATATCATATGTTTGGATATATGAATATTCGACATAAAAATCTGAAATCGAAAATGTTAAATATTTTATTTTTTTAGATCGAATACAGATCATTATATTATCTATTCAAAATTTTAGATATTCAATTTTTTAGATAGATTCAAATCCGAATTTGAAAATGCATTACCCTAATTTTAGGTACTAAGTCTTTTCTTTTATCATTCTGTTTGATCTGTTTCCCATTGCTTTGGTCATTTGGGATTTCTTTTGAGTTGAAACCCGAGTTGGCACCACTGCAGAGGAAGGAAGCCAGAATTCGAAAGATTGTTTAGAAATATCAGAATGCCAATGTTTTACATCACCTCATAGATTTAAATAGCGGTCCGTCATTAGAATAACAAATGGTTTTTATATCGTTTGAACCACTATTACACGACCGCGATATCTGCAATAATACTCATTATGTCCGTAATCGCAATAACACAATACAATTGAAAACATAGACAAGAAGCATGATCAATGGGATGGACCAGCAATCCAACAGCAAATGAATTGGCAGTCAATTAACAATGAGTGGTCATTCAATTTTCAGACCATCTTTCAAGGGAAAAAATAATTAAATGTCGATATTTTCGTCAAGTTCTTTTTAATATTTTAATTGTTATACTATCTCTTTTGTTTCGTATACCAAGATCTTCAGAGAAGTAAATTGGAACCACAAAAAAATATCTCCAAACATGAGACAAAAGGGACCCAGAGCCCTACATTTCTCGAGAAATCACAATCCCTTTAGCCCCAATCTATTTTATTTTATCAACACTTGGAATCGAAGTCGAATCTGAAAAAGGTAAAGATAAAATGATTTATAGATATATGAAGACATAAAGATATGATTACACAGCAAATAACATAGACAAACAACCTTATTATTATTATCATCTTCATGCAAGTAAAATCACACTGCCAAATTACAATCAAATTCTAGAAATCAACAATCAAAGCCAATCCAAACCTCACAAACTCAAAGTTGAGATTATTACATGACATCAATACAAGCGTGAAACACCAAGTTACAAGGACAAATATAGCAAGCATTACAAGTAACAAATCAAGGACCATACTCTGTTTTCTAGTTTAGAACGTGCTACCCTGACAATCTTTCTGCATTCAGGTGCCAAATCTTCACGAGGCTTATCACATTTTTCGCAATCCAGACAATAATCAATCTTCTCGATGACGGTGAGCTGGTGTCGATGGACTTCACTTCGTAGTAGCCATTGCAAAGAAGAAAATGACAACATGATCAAGATACAATATGACAACAATAAGGAATCCAAACTAATAAAATGGCTGCATTACATTATTTAAACTTACATCACTGTCGTCACTCGTCTGGATCTTCTCCGGAATCGAAACTGCTATCAGCCATCTGGTTTTATACATTTCCAATGAACAATGTAGTTGCAGTCAGGTTTTGCACATTCAAGAGCCAGATATTCACAGGGCTTACCACATTTAGTGCATTCTGGGTAGAAATTTATCTTCTTCACAAATGTATCTTCTTCACAAATGTGAGAGGGTGTGGATGATCCCCTTGTTTGTAGATGCTCCCGGTTTTGATAAATGGATATTCTCCGAGAGCGCAATTCACGTGAGCAGAAGTATCACAAGTAGCACAATGATAAAACCAGAGCTTTGGATCCGTTCTTTTCTCACAAATGTCACAGCGATGGTGTTTCGAATAATCATTAACCTCGTGATAAGTGAGGGCAAGAAGATGATCGTCGCATTTGTGTCTTACTCTCTCTGGCAGTCGAATACACTGAGCATCGACAGAATACTTGCAATCTTTACACCAATACTCCGCACCATACTCACCACAAGCATTACACTTCCTTGACCCTCTATATACAGAAGAAGGGGATGTTGGTGTCCTGGACATGTTAGAGAACCCGGTTTAAGAGAGGCACATCGAAGGCACAAGCGTCTTCCACATTCATTACATTTATAGGCAAAACCATTAGAAACCCAATCACATAGTTCACATTCGAAAATGTCGTCTGAAGTAAGGACGAGGCGGCTAATTGGCAATGATGAAACCAAATATTCTTCATTTTGGTAATTCGGCACAACTTCTATGAAGAAAGAACTCACACTGAGAGCAATCATAGAATGAATCTGAGACCGGTAACATACACCCATCACACATTTATCACCGTACTCTCTGTTGTTGTATCTTAAGGTTAAGTAGTGATTATGCTTGAAATGTTCTATTAATGTGGCTTCTCCGGCAACGTTCCTCTCAAGAACTTTAGTGATAGAGTTAACATCAAGAGGCTTCTCATCTTCATTTTCTGGTGGAACAACATAATACCAATCACTGTCCTTCGTTGCACACTTCACATGGAATATGATATCGCAATCTGTACAGTAGTAGCTTCCATAATCTGTATTGACCTCATCGTGACATATTAGACAATTCAAACTTCCAAGACCTTCTTTGTGAAGGGAATATGTGTGAAAAACACGATGATCATGGAACCTGCTTTTGATAATACGTGGCAATGAAATGCATTCTTTATGGACAATAACGCTGCATGTACCACATGTATATGCAACATGAATTCCCTCGGTACTACACGCATCACAGATGAATGGAGCTTGTCTCAAGAACGAAGAGAATGGGCGTGGATGACTTTTATCTTCAATGATGGGTTTCGGTGATACACATTGAATGTGGATAGCAAACTTGCAAGGTGAACAACCATAAACAAATCCTCTTCGTCGGGTTTCTTGGCATATCTTGCAAGAGAGCCGATCGCTATTGAATTGTAAGAGAAGCGGATGTTTGCGGTGGCACATGTGATTCAGTTTGAAAGGAAGCTTAGCACGTTTTTTGTGTAAATTAAACTCACAATGAGGAGAGAAGTACGCATCATTTGCTAACGGTTCCCAGCACCCAAAGCACTTTCTAACATCAATTTTAGTGGAAATCAAAGGATCTTCAAGGGCAACATGCTCAAGCGCTTTCAAATTATTTTGAGCAATATTAAATGTAAACAAAGCACATTTAATATGCAAGTCCAAACCACAAGAGCAATGATAAACGAACTTCTCACCCATTCCATCGCAAAAATCGCAAATCCATCGATAAGGTGCCTTTTGCATAAGAAGAAGAGGATGGTTGCGATGGAAAGGGTGATTAAGCTCCAAAGGTGCGTCGGCACATACCTTGTGAAGGTAAAAACCACAGTCCTCGGCACAGCGAAAACATGGAGCAGACACCTTCTCCCCACACCTGGAGCAGTCGGCTATTACTCCACTTTGATGGGTGATGAGTTGCTCTTCATTCAACAACACAAGTGGATGTTGATGCCCATAATTCTTTGACACCTCCATTTCTCCTTCTGATGTAGCACAGAAATTGAAATCCAATAACCAAAGTAAAGGCATAAATTTGGAAAAGGGGAGATTGGTGAGCAATCTTAGTAATATTTCTTTAAAAGAGTCTGCATTCACTCTATTCCTTGCTTTGTGGATTAGACGAATGAAATGGATGCTTAATGTGTGCTACATATATTATGTGCGTGTGAAGAAAGAATATTGGGATTCTTCTTAATCATTTGGAGGATTTATATTTTTTTTTTACTTTTCACTTTATTCCTTGCTTTGTGGATTGGACAAATCATAATTGATACCAAATGTGTGTTAGGTGTTATTTACGTGTCAAGAAACATTATTGGGTCATTTGGATTCACCTTAATCAATTGGAAATTTTATATGAGTGAACAACTCAAATGACCACTTAATTATGGAGTTGGTGTCGACATAACCGTCAATCAAATCATTTGCCGTTAACATTTAACGGAAACGTTAACATGACCGTTATCAAATTTGGTATAATTCAACGTTCGATACACATTCAATATTAACAACAAACTTACAATTCAAATAACCATAAACATATGATTCATTTGGAGAGGAAGCTCAACACATTTCTTGTGTAAATTAAACCCACAATTAGGAGAGAAGTATAATTTGCAAATGGAAATATTTTGAAATAATTTGTAATGGGGTAAGGGGGAGGTAAGATAGTAGGCTGACCCCAACACCAGGTTGAGAGCAGCTTCTATAGAAGACCTCCGAATTATGAAATGCCCTCCGTGGGACTCGATCCCACGACCTCAAGGTTAAGAACCTTGTGTTCTACCAACTGAGCTGGTAACAAGACAAACAACATGTTTCACGAGGGGCAAAAGAGAGCACCCATGTTTCAGCTGTAAATACCTTAGCTACCCTGTGATTTTCCAAAGCATAATAAACACAACAAGGGAAGAAAGAGAGCGAAGTAGTGAAAAATGGCATCAGCATCGAGATTGACATTGCCGAAGTTTGTGGCACTTAAAGGAGATAACGATCAGTATCTGTGTCTCAGCCCACTAAACGGCCGACCCTATCAGCGGTTTGTAGCTGCTGGACTCAATGATCCATCTTTCACGTTGGAGGTTATCATTGCAAACGACGGAAATGTCAGCTTCAAACAAACTTCTTTTGGTAAATATTTGAGTTTCGTTGAAAATTCTGCTATCATCAGTGACCAAAATGCGAGCATCACCGTAAACTTGAGGCTCGGCAATGAAGATGTCAAGTCTACCATATGGAAAACCGATCTTTCTCTAAAATTGGAAGCATAAGGTCAATCGTAGCAAAATAGTTAGTTGAGTTTACGAGTCTTATTTTAAGATTTTAATTTTGTTGAAAAAATTTTGAATCAAATTTTGAAAAGTAGATTGTCTTGTTTTAAGTAACTTACACGACATTGAGGCCACGGGTGTTTTGAAATCTCTTCCTCGTATTTGATTATCTTGTTGTTTGATTTTTTCTTTATGCCTTTTCAGATAGATATTTTCTTTATTTTTCTTTAGGTGTAACTTTCGGTAATTTTTGACTTTTCGGTGATATTATTATATTAATAAAATATGTTTTTGCTGAAAAAAAAGTGACAAACACCTATCTCTTCCACTCGTTTACGATAGCATTTCACATTTCTTTGCATTTTTGTGCAATTTTCTTTTGCTTTACCAAATGTAATTTTGTCCTTACGAATTGGTATTGCATAAATCATTGTAAATTAATATAATAAGACCGTTTCCATTTCAATATAAATAATAATTTCTAGTTTGCAAAAAGCAGCTTCCTCTCGACTTGTACTTCAATTATAAATAATAATTTGACCAAGCAATAATAATAATCAACATCGTAAGTTCATATAATGAGATCGTTTTCATTTCAATAAAAAAATCAATTTGCCAAGAAAAGACATCTTTCTCTCAACTTCCTGCTTAATAATTTAATCGAACAACAATAACAATAATGAAAAACTTATTTCATGCCCAAACGATGAAAAAAATATTTTACAAATGAGTTTTTATTATTGTCATGAGTCTTATTTAAGATTTATATTTTAATAATTATTTAAATGTATTAGATGAGACATTTAACTAGAAATAATCAGTAAGAAAAAAATAATATAAACGTGTAAAATAATAATACTAGTAATGATAATAGTTGTCATTATCGTAAAGTGATATAATAAGAATGTTTTCATTTCAATGAAAATTTTAATTTACAAAAAAGAAGCTTCTTCTCAACTTCCACTTTAATTATAGATAACAATTTGATTAAATAATAACGATAATAATAATAAGTCAACATTTTTATTTCAATAAAAAAATAAATTTGCAATAAAAATATATTCCTCTCAACTGCTACTCCAATTATAAGTAATAATTTGACTGGAAATAATAATATTAGTTGAACAAAATAGTTATAAATTCTTCCTCTCAGATCCGTTGTTGTTACGCATGCATGTGTATGTTAATTTAGCTGTGGAAAAAGTGATTTGTTGCTTGCTTTTGGTGTGCGATTTGATGATCAAGCCATAAATCACTCTTATCCACAGTTTAATTAGCATGCGCAATTCCATACATCTCAAGCATTTGTAAGGACGACAGATCCTAGCTCGAAAATGAGACGAAACCCATCAAAGTACTCGTGACGGGTATCATCATAAGCTCGATAAACTTCTTCGACTCCTCCCCGGAGTTCAAACACCCGCCACCAACATACGAAATAGGCTTCGGTAATGATCCTACGGAAATCATCCACATCAAGGAGAAGAGGGGTTATGCTTTGTAATAGACCCTGTTACCTCAACAAAGGAAATCTCTTGGGAGTTGGGATCATTTATCGAGGGGTTTAACTGGTGATCGCTACGAGAGGGATACTGTTGAGCATTGCATCAGTAAGCTCATTCACTAAGTTACCCCGGGGCTGGAAATCGCCATACAAACTCCGGAAAGGCCGGAGGAGCGTAAGTGTAACACCCTTTGCTCCGATCCATAGTAGGTGTTTGATAAGCAATGTCTCATTCAATACCCTTTTTATTACAACTTTTATGACAACATCTGCAATCACGACCTTGTAATCGCATCCATAATTTAATACGATGTTGCTCATATATAAATTACATTACTAAAACACATATATCTTATTTTCATTGAAATCAATATTTTGTTCTTCCATCACTCTCTGTGATCACATTTTTTATAGTCCCTCCACTCGGCATCATTGGCAGTACATGTTCTTGATGTGAAACGATTATGTCTAGAAAGTAAGGTCCCGCGTTCCAACATTTTCCGAATCGCTTCTCGGCATCATGGGCAGCAGATATTCCGCACGCGTCTGCAAATTTCATCATGTTTGGGAACATCTCGAACTTGTTCCATGGGCTGCCCAAGTATGAATGAGCTCTGTTCGACTTGTAAAACCAATCCTCCCCTTGAACAACCATGCCCAAATGCTGATTATTTAATAACAGTATCTTTATGGGAAGATTCTCCACACTGATCGTTGCCAACTCTTGGACGTTCATGATGAAACTTCCTGTTGAAAATTTAATATGCATGCACCGAAAGTAGCATGCAAATGTTGGAAAAAAACTTATCTCTACCAAATTGTGTAGTAAAAAAGGAGCTTGATTTTGTTGAATTTTGGAAATGGTAGAACCTCAATTTTAGCCATTGTAATTTAGGGTATTTGCAAATTAGTCCTTAAAGCTTCAACTATAAATACCCTAGCTCATTTAGCTTCAAAATCGTCCCAAATGATTCTAGCTTTCTTCCAATACTAGAGAGAATTTAGAGAGTTTCTTGAGAGTTGTTTTTCTCCTTTTATCAAGAGAGAATTATCATTGTTTCTCCTTGGTAGATCGAGAGAGGTTGTAATTCCTATTTTCTCATAGTGAAATTCTTCTACCGTTGCCCGTGGTTTTTACCCTATATTATTTAGGGGTTTTCCACGTAAATTTTGTGCCTCTTTTATCTTCATTTTTATTTTCTCAAATTATCAGTTACGATTTTGCTCTATCCGATAGCCGTCTTCAGCAATAATTGGTATCCGAGCCAGATTAGAGTGTGTAATATCTGCTTATTGTCTTTGTGGTTGCCACCAAAAGGTGGATCCTCCAACATAAGAAAGTAAGAAGTTATTACCCGTAAAAGAAGCTATGGCAACGAAATTTGATATTGAAAAATTCAATGGGAGAAATTTCTCATTGTGGAAATTGAAGATGAAGGCCATCATGAGGAAAGACGGTTGTCTAGCAGCTATATGTAAAAGGCCGGTGGATTTCACAGATGACAACAAATGGATCGAAATGGACGGGAATGCTATGCAAACTTTCATCTAGCATTAGCAGATGAAGTATTGTCAAGCATCGAGGAGAAGAAGACAACTAAGGAGATATGAGATCATCTCACCAAACTGTACGAGGCCACATTGTTGCACAATAAAATTTTCTTTAAGAGGAAATTGTACACTCTCCGGATGCCAGAATCTACTTGAGTGACGGAACACTTAAACACGTTGAACACTTTATTTTCTCAGCTTACATCCTTAAGATGTACAATAGGAGAACAATAACGTGCTGAACTTCTACTTCAAAGTCTACATGATTCGTATGATCAACTCATCATCAACTTGACAAATAGTAATGTCACCACTCTAGTCTTCGTTGACGTTGCAGCTGCTGTTCTCCAAGAAGAAAATCGGCGCAAGAACAAGGAAGACATACAAGTAAATCTGCAACAAGCAGAAGCGTTGACAACGATGAGAGGGATATCAACAAAACGTGGCCAAAGCAACAGTCACAAACATGGTAGATCGAAGTCGAGGAGCAAGAAAAATTTAAAGTGCTACAACTTTGGAAAGAATGGTCACTTGAAGAAGGATTGTTGGGGTCTAAATAAAAACTCCAATCCACAAGGCAATACCGCAAACATTTCAGATGATGGAGATGTTATATGCTGTGAAGCGTCAACCTGATTCGTATGATCAACTCATCATCAACTTGACAAATAGTAATGTCACCACTCTAGTCTTC